ATGGTTTCCTACCATTCCCATATATTCGAAAGTGACTGGCCCTCTGGATGTGGATGATGTCAAAAACAACAAAACATCATTAATTGAGTACATGGGACTTTACTTACTTTTGGCTTCCCACATAGTACCTAGTTGGGTGAAATAAACTTTTTTCCTTGATTTGTTTTCCGTACTGAATACCAATGCTACCGACGCCCGGGAAGCAGCTTCCACACCCACCCTTCGTGATCAGAAATTTTTTACCTCAGAAAATCCCGGCGGCGCTTGAGATATAAACTTAATTTTGACTATTTTTTTCTTACCGTGTGATTAAATTTTACTCAACAGTGAGTTGTTTTTGATAGCCTTGTTACGCTCAATTTACAGTGTACTAGTCACCTTTCGCGTCACTAGAGCCGCTAGTATCGGGAAAAATCGTGTCTTGGGGATATTAGAAGAGTGAACCATATTGTTAATTTATAATATTTGCATGAAGGTTTGATTGCTAAATTGAAAAAGTTTAATTTTCCACTTTATATTATGAAATTAGTTCAAAATTATTTAACTGACAGAACTCTTCAAGTAAATTATCAAAATTCCAAATCTAATCGACTACCTGTTAGGGCAGGAGTTCCTCAGGGTAGCATTCTTGGGCCTATATTGTATAACATTTTCACTTCGGACCTCCCTGATTTGCCTCAGGGTTGCCACAAATCTTTGTTCGCTGATGACACAGGCATTTCCGCTAAAGGAAGAAGTCTTCGTGTTATTTGCAGCAGACTTCAGAAAAGTTTAGATATTTTCTCTTCTTATTTACAAAAATGGAAGATTTCTCCCAACGCTTCCAAAACTCAACTTATAATATTTCCACATAAGCCCAGAGCTTCCTTTTTGAAACCTAGTAGTAGTCACATAGTCACTATGAACGGAGTTCCAATTTCCTGGTCAAACCAAGTGAAATATCTTGGATTAATACTTGACCAAAAATTAACTTTTAAAGATCACATTGAGGGCATTCAAGCCAAATGTAACAAATATATAAAATGTTTGTATCCTCTTATAAACAGGAAATCCAAACTTTGCCTGACGAATAAACTTCTAATATTTAAACAAGTTTTTAGACCGGCCATGCTTTACGCATTGCCAATATGGTCTAGTTGCTGCACTACCAGGAAAAAAGCACTTCAAAGGATTCAGAACAAAATTCTGAAAATGATTTTGAAGTTGCCTCCCTGGTACAGTACTACCGAAGTACATAGAATTTCGAATGTTGAGACTTTAGAACAAATGTCCAACAAAATAATTAATAATTTCAGGGAAAAATCGTTGCAATCCTCAATTGCAACGATTAATTCCCTTTATACTTAGATAAGATTTAGTTTTAGTTTTTAGTTTTAAGATATCAATTGTTATACTGACATGCAGGTTAAAAAACCTGTTTAAAATACTGAATTGCCAAGACATGAACAATGTAAAAACACTTAGATATATATATCATAACAATTAAGGCTGGTACGTTACTGCAGTGACTGGAGCACCTAGGTTAAAATGAAATGTAATTTATTTTGAATTTGGAACAAATAAAGAGTTAAAAAAAAAAAAAAAAAAAAAAAAAAAAAAAAAAAAAAAAAAAAAAAAAAAAAAAAAACAAAAAAAAAAAAACGGCACAAAAGCATTTGTAAACAAACTTTCTAAGGCCCTTTACACGCGAACCAAAGTACTGCGTGGGCGTACTTTGGTTCGCGTGTAAAGGGCCTTAGAAAGTTTGTTTACAAATGCTTTTGTGCCGTTATCAAATGTTATGCCTGAAATAATAACGCGTGATATGAAAGTTTGCACTCAGTATTCTCAAAAAAAAAAAAAAAAAAATAGATCTAAGCTCTACTTTCAATATAGGACGCACATGACTTTTCACGTTTTCTCCATACAAAATTGTCTTTTTCAGTGTGGTTTATGAATGTACGATTATACACCATTCCTGAGGTTCAATCAAAAGTGATTAAAAACCAAATGGGACTGATATGCGAGTATCGGCAGTTCAGTTACATATTAAAAAAAAACCTGTTTAAAATACTGAACTGCTAAACCAAAAACAAACGTAAACAAAAACACTTATAGCGGGTTCGTTTATTATCGGGATTGGAACCAGTTCCAACTTAGTGCGAAACCACACTTTTTGTCAGTGCGAACATCAACCTGAGCTAGGTTTTAAACACAAACCTGATACCCGATCCAGGTTGGAACTGAATAATAAACGAATTCACTATTAAATGTCAGCAGTTCCATTACAAATGACGATTTTTTTTTAATTTTTTGATCAACCTTCTACGATTATGATGAAACTTTGCACAGTTGTTTATTATTGTCCAACATGTCATTTTACATATTTGGTTCGCTAGTTTTGTACACGACTAACACTTGAAAAGGGATTAAGCAAAAATGATACACATCAATAGAAAAACATATATCTCGTGAACGATTTGTTTGGTGTCTTCGGCAAAGTTGCGAACAAGTATTCTAGATAAACATTTCAAAAGGTCATATCTGCATTGATCGATTCTCTTCATCGAAATTATATTTATATTGAGCATGAGCATGAATTACCGCCCACGGTTGCTACTCTGTTATTGCCAGATCAGCTGTAATTACACAGAGAACCAATAGACGATGCTTGGGACTAGCAATCATCCTCAATGTGTAAAAACTGGTGATCTCAAATTAGGCAATACCAGCGCCAGCCGCGCCTGAACGCAGGTCAAGAAAGGAATGGGTAGGAATGTGTTGACGTGACACTCGCTTTGATGGAAGCCGAGAAATCCTCTGCAATTCCACGAGGAGTCACTGGGATGTTGGGTAAGAGGGTAGGGTTTGCAGCAAGGTTCGTTTTGGTAAACGATAAGCTGAATTGATGTTTATACGATAGGGAGGGGTTACTGTATAAATAAATAAAAAGGAATGATCTCAGCCAAATAACCAAGTGGAGCTGCACTAAAAGCAACCGGCCAAATTCATATTATATTATAATAAAATAAAAAGTAAATAACAATGATAAGCTATTTGACACACCTTCTGGTCCTTCAGGATCTACAGGACAACTTTTTTCTAGAAATGAAAATTACAGTTATATAATGATAGTTGTATAGTGATATAATGAGATTTTAAAAATGTGAAATAAAACTAATTTACTAGTCATGCAATATATAAAATAATGTTAAATAAACAAGTATTACAAAATAAAAATAAGCTCGATTGCAGTTAACCTCAATACATTCAACTGATTTCAACTTCTGATATTTTATTGGAATTGAAACAAACACTTTATTATGCACCATGGAATTTCTTAACGCAATATGGAATGCTTTTTTTAAAATATTGGTAAACTTTCATAATGCATCAATAGTCAGAAAAATCGAGGTTATTTGGACAGTTAACAGTTTTTATCCAATTGTAATCATGCATTCCAATGTTTTTTTGTATTTTCCTGAACGAAGGCTGAAAATAGTGAATCATTATAATATTAATCTAAAAATGTCGAAGAGCTGAAAATAAACTTAAAGATTTAAATCAATGCGTCCAGCCTAAACGGAGGGCTCGCGAACACAATAAGCTTCCTCATCACTCATATTCAGAATTTGATTAAATAAGTATTTACAAATATACAAATAAATATATCAAAAAGTTATGTAACTTTCTATCCTGGAAAGGAAAAATTAAATGGTTAATTTCACTGTCATATAAACGTTAAACATACATTAGAGAAAATCAAATGATGTTACGTTGCTTCTTCCAGTTGTGTTTTGACCCTGTTATAAATATTTATCAATGAATATTTAATAATAATATAATAGGACCTAGGATGTATTCAAACTCAAACTATATCAAGATGGAAATAAAATCATAGTGAATTATTCGTATACACCTAACCGTAAAAAGCCGAGGAACATGCATCATGCGACCGTGGTCATCACTCTGACAAATGAAACGATGAACGATGAACATACATAAATCTCGAATACTCCCCCGAAGGGACGCATCCACTCCCGCAAACAATGCATCCCATCGTCAATCCGGCGCAACCAGCATCCCGCCCACGCATGCGCCAACACCACCATCAGATAGGAGAAATTTTCCCCTACCTGATAGCGGCGCCACAATGCGCGGGCGAGCCAACAAACAACACCAAACCGACAATCAAACGCACTGCCCACAAAAGCAGACACGTCCCCTCGAAAATGCAATCGAGAAATGTGTAAGAACAATCTTCAACTGGAACATACTCACCAAATCAATACATCCGGGAGCGCATTCCTGATGCTTACCCTAATAAAATGTGTATGGTTATTTTGCTTAACGACATATTCAGGGTATCATCCAAACCATTTGTGGAATAGTTCTATTTTTTGGGATATCGTTCGAGTATGGTATTTTTTATATTAGGGTATCTTTCTCTAGTCATCTCTAAACAACCACAACTAAACATCTTTCCACTCTGTGCACAAAGTAATGCATTTTGCAAAAACCTAATAATAGATCCACGCGGTCAAGTACCAGCTCCACCGTTACATTTCTTGGGTCGATTCTAAGCTACAATAAACTATCATCGAAATTATATTTATATTATAGTTTAGATAAAGTGCTACTCACTGACAATGTGTATTTGCTGGGCAGTTCATAAACAAAAAAGTTAAAAATTATTGAAAAAAATACTATTTTCCAAAATACTACCTACTGTTATCGGATATCTTTGAAATAGTGTTAATATTAAAACAAATTAAATTTACTATAAAAAAGCTCTTAGTGCTTAAATTGCCCAAAGTTACCTTTGCGGTGGGTTAGACCAGGATTTGCAACCCTTCTGCTTTTAGCTTAACTTAATTTTGTCAAAGGTATTTCTCAGTAACCACTGCCCCAAATTGATCAAACACGACTTCAAATTACATTTCATTCCTCCTAAAACTCTATTGAACCATCATGCAACGCTAAACTTCAGTTTTGATTGGTTTCCTGAATTTCAGCTTCAGAATACGATCGCATGCCTCCAGTTTTCCACTACGAAGATAAGCTCAAATGCCTCAAGGGAGACCGGAGCAACATTTACTGCATTGCTAGGACCTTGATCAAGCCGGACAGTTCTTCGCAAATTTGGAACTTGATTGAGGTTAGAGTCAGCCGAGACTTGTTTTTGAAGATGAATTATTGTATTAAAATCGTACCTTTTAGAAACATTCCACCGAAGACACCGATTTCCAACGATACGTCCTGGATCGAGGCTTTTGCCTGACGAACTGTGAAGCGTTAGTGAGCAGTTTATCTATAGAGCAACAGAAGCAATATGACCATGAACAAATTTCGGTCGATGATCCGGTATGTAACAAGCTACACGTTATCAGCGATTTGTAAATGTTTCCTTGTCTCTCCCAATGCAGCACACCTATGACTCCAGCTACATCCCCGGCATGGATCATTTCAAACGAAACTACAGTCGATTGACCAACATCTGCTTCAACTACCAGCTCCACCGCGACTACAATCTGTCCGGATATTCCCTTTTAGAGCACTGCATGTCTTCCAAGGATCTAAATAAACCAATGACTCTGTTTCACGTGCTTTTTGTCGTTCTTTGCGGTTCCGTATTCTTCCTGGTTATTCGCGCCACCTACCGGGATAACATCGTCGTTCGAAACCAGAACAACAACCAAATTGCAACGGAAAACGACGTCTGGATGGAATTTTCGCTGAACCGAAGCATCCGTCGATTATTTGTCACGCCTCAAACCAAGCTGCATCGTGACTTTGCTTTTGTGGAATCGGTTCGCGTCATTTCGGTGTTCTTCATCACTGCTGTTCACGTGCTGATGGCGTACGGAGCAAGCCCATTGCAGAATCCGGAGGCACTGGAATTGCTGTTTAGGAATCCGCTGCTGCGGATGGCTTCGGCAGTGTTCCCTTTTCTGGTGCATACGTTCTTCACCGTCGGGGGAGTACTGCTGGCGGTGCATTTCCTGGACTTTATGGAATCCAGTCCAAGGTTCCGATGGCAGTACTTTTTTATGGGGGTGATAAATCGATATATGAGGCTTTTCCCACTGTACTTCATCATGTGGCTGTACCAGGTGTCGTGGTTCGATCGGATGGGATATGGTGCCACCGGTCATTCGCTGGTTGGTGTGGAGATGCAGCTCTGTAAGGAAAATGGATGGTCAAACTTTCTCTTCATCAACAACTACTACAAGTTTGACAAGGGTGTTAGTTGAAGTTGCTTCAATCGCAATGGAAGAATCTTAACCGGGTGATATTTTTCAGTGCATGCAGCAAACATGGTACCTGGCGGCCGATTTTCAATTTTTCTGTATCGGAATGATCCTCATGATGATCCTGTGGCGTTTCCCACGGTCCGCCAAGGGCCTGATCTACGGAATGATGACGATTTCTTTGGTTGTCCCATTAATCAACAATTATGTGTTCAACTTTGTAGGAGTAATTTTGCTCAATTTCAAGTAAGTAATGGAAAGTTCAAGGCAAATGCAGATTTAATCTGGAAAAACATAGCTCCGACTCAATCCAGGATTCTTTCTAAATTTTTAAATTTAATATACAGACATCTTCGGTTCATGCTGTTCTTCTACGAGTGGGTCAAGCGTGATTACATCCTATCGCATCCGCACACGTGCAGCTATTTTGCCGGTATTATCGCAGGCATTGCCTACCATCGTTACCAGAAGGACCCGCAGTATTTAAAAAATCACCGCATTTATCAAGTTTTGAAACGCCTAGCGCCTCTCATGGTACTGGTCCTATCGGCACCGGCTACCTTATTCTACTATATGAAATCACCGGAACCGTCACTTTTTATGGCATTCTACGCATCCGCCCATCGGAACTTCTTCGGTATCATGTGCGGTGTGGGACTGCTGTACGGAGCCACGGAGGGAAGTGGAAAGCTTCCCGCTATAATGCGTCATCCAACTATGCTGGCCATGGGAAGATTGTCGTTTAGCGTCTATCTGACGCAGTTCAATGCCATTAGGTTAATTTTTGTTGATGCCAAGGACTATGGATTCGTACTCAATGTTGCTAATTATGTAAGAATTGAATGGCAGTGCAATTGGCATTCATGTCTAACAGGAATTACATTTTTCAGTTGCAAGCGTTCGCCTTAAGCTATGTGGTTTCATACGTCACTGGAGTGTTGCTTTGTATAATGGTTGAGCTACCAATGGCGGCTTTCATCAAACGAGTGCAAGGTACTGTCTCTGAGTAAATGTCGGCTGAGTATTTAAAAAAATATGCTTCATATTTCAGGTCAAAAGAAATCCAAAAAACACAGCGGCAGCCTCAAAGATGAAAACGAGCAAGATAAACTGAAAGATTCCTAACAGAAAATGGTACTGTCACATAATTCGTGATACCTTGCACAGACATGACGGTTTTGAGTTTTGTACTCATTTAATCTTTTACCTAGATGGCAGTAATGTATTAAATAAGTACCTTGGAAGTTTAGCATTTAAGGATCGGACGGGTAAAAAGCTGCACTAACCTTATTTGGTAAAATATTGTTACACAGGAAAACAACAGAAAATATGTTTTTTATTTGTTTCGTTTCTTCGAAAAGCCATACAAGCCTGTCATGGTGGTTACTCTTGGAGTAACCATAGCTCGGAAAACCTATTATTATCATTATTACTAGAAATACTCAGAGGGAGAGATGGGCGGAGAAAACAAAATGAAATTTGGCTGCAGGGTTTCATGTGTCAAATATCTGGCACCCCTTCTCAAAACGTAGCCGTTACATGACTTTTCTTTTCAATTCGATGTGAGTACACGGCTAATAAGATCAACCCAAATTTGAGTTCAATGTACTCCAAATAGCAGAAAGTGCAGGAACGCAGCGATGAGTAAATTTGCTTTATGATTTCCTGTAAAAACCTAAAAAATTTGCCAGATAATGAGCAAAATTGAGGAAATTTTTACTCAGGCTAGGAGAAGTATCAATAGACTGGGAGAATCCAATCTTTACTTTTCTCATATTCGGGATTTTTTTCTTGGAATAACCTGGAAAACCTGGAAAAAATATCAGGCAAATTTACTCATCGCTGAGTTCCTGCACTTTTTGCGATTTATGAGTAAACTAAACTCAAATTTGGGTCGTTCTCATTCACCGTGTAGTGTAAAAATGAAGTACATCGCGAAGTTTTGCACAAATCGCGGGGGCGTTAAAGCCACGCAATTTAAAAACGTAAGCTTTTTCCGGTTTCCGAAAGCATCAGTGTTTCGTATGCAATGGTTACAATTTTGCGGTTTACCGAAGAACTACCAGCTGCTGGATTCGATGAGGCTATGCAGTGTAAGTACGTTTCTTGTTTACATTAGCACCTAAAACTATTGCTAGGTTTCTTTTTAGTTGCACTTCGATGATGCACAGCTGTATGTCCCAAAGCAAGGCGGGAATGTGAGAAAACAACCGGGTGCTGTTCCTGTTTATCAGCGAGGGAATTATGATATGTCACAGATTGCCGAAAACGTAGAAATAAATGAAGAACTACTAAAAGAAACCAACCAGGACCAAACAAATACATCCGGTGAACATCAGCAGCACCACGGCAACATAATATTGGATGATACTGACACTGTACTGATTTGCGATGGTAGCACAAGAATGGATATTCCGGAAATCACATCTGATGCATTCGGTTCGGCGGAATTATTGCCAGGATCGTATGATGGAATCGTGAGCACCGGCAAGTTGCACCTGTTAAATATCATCGCGAAAGGAAATAGCTTAAATCGATCAGAATATGTCTACGAACCTGCAGATAAGCTGAACAGCGTCAATAGTGTAAGTTTTTGCCAAAGCTGTAACATTTTGTACACCCGTTTTGAGCGGCAAGAACGGTAAGAAAGTTCTTATAGTAAAGTGTTCCTGTACTTTTTTGTAAATTATGATACAACATATTTCAGTCTGATCCAGGAACTTCAGCTAACACTTGCATGCAAAGACAAGGAAATAGAAACCCTCAAGCGCCAAGTCGACTCACTTCAGCTTTTGTACGATCAGCATCCAGCAGAACAAATTTCAAAGAAGATGTTTAACGAGGACCAGTATAAATTGTTGGCAGGTAAATCCAGGATACATAAATGGTCAGACGCTTCCATAACAGATGGACTACACTGAACCAAAACATCCGCAATACTTCGAATGATTATTGCATTGCTCGAGCCCTTTAACAATATGCATTCGAATTTCGGATGATTTTCTTATGGTTGAATTCGTCGTCAGATGATGAACATCCATATGACTGTCATCCAAATACAGGATGATTTTCGTTTGAAAATTAGCTGTAAAACATACAGCACTCAGAGGACAAACATTTAAGAATAGTGTGACATGCAAGTGCTTTTAATTAGATTTATAATTTGATAATCTACAATTCCATACTGAATAGCCATTATAAGCCATTCCATTATGCAAACAAAAAATTTTCGTGGTGGAGAAAACCTCCTCCACCTCGCATTAGCCAAACATTGGTTTTCATCCTATACCTATGTTCGTAACAGCTCTGATAGCGATGCATATGCTTCTACCTCGTTTGTCAGCTCAGATCAGCAAATGACGTTCGATAGAATTATTTACATCATCGTTTTGAATGATTTGCGTTATGGGGCTGAACCAAAACCATATGCATTTCCATTTAGTATGACAGTCATTCTGCAGAGAGCATTACGCATTTCAACTGAAAGCCCTATCCCTTCTCATAACAAGTTTCATCCTGTCTTCGAGAGGAAAATCATCTGATTTCAAAACAACCGTCATCCGGTTGCAGCTATCATTCGGAAAAGCGATTTCGGTGTTTTGTTTTGAATGGTCTGAGGTTTCATTAGATCAGAGGATGATGTTTGTGTACAGTGTACGAGCCAGAGCTAAAATGAGCCGAAATACTTATGAGAGAGAAAGGAAGAAGCTGCGGTTGCCCAGTGCTCGTACGCTTAATGAACGCATACAGCATCTACACTTTGCTCCTGGCATTCTTGGAGACGTTTTCGAGCTAATGAGTATGAAAATACCTTTTATGTCAAAAAATGACCTGGATTGCGCTCTTATTTTTGACGAGATGGCTATCAGTCAAGGTAAAGACTTCTGTTTGAACAACAATTACTTTTTTGGTGATATCACGCTACCAAACCATTCCGGAAGGGCAACCCACGTATTACTTTTTATGTTGGTAGGGATCGATCAGTAATGGTTGTTTCCGGACATTATATTTGACATAATTCAACGGTCCGAATCCCTTGGAATGAGGGTGCATGCGGCGGTTAGCGATTGCGGTAGCAACAATAAACGACTATGGAACAACCTCGGTATTCTACACACCGAAAGTCAAGTTCTTAACAACAAGCCAATACGCCATCCCTTCAACGAACACAGGCTTTTTGAAGTCCTACCAGATACTGTACACGTTTTCAAATCTGCAGTTCAAGGCTGGCTAAACAATAAGACCATCAAACTGTCTCAACACAGCAAAAAAATAATTTTGATATCACATCAAAGTGGATGCACTACAATCATGTCGAAAATTTTATGTAATTTTTATGACCACATAGATAAACAAATGCAGTAAAAGCAGCGTTATGTCAGTTCATGCATTGTATTAATGATAATTTTGTCCTTTTTAGCAAGTAATATTACACCATATTTTCAACATGATTGTAGTGCATCCACTTTGACGTGATATCAAAATTATTTTTTTGCTGTGAAGAAACCGTTAGTCAACATAATCTGTGCTCCGCAACGGTGGATATTTGTCATATTCGTGACTTGGTACTACGTGAATCGAAGACTGGACTAAAGATGGCGTGTGGACTCACAACTGTTGATGTGGACTTCACAAAACCACAAAATAACTTTGAGAAAATGAAGGTGATACAATATGTTCTTCGACTTATCTTTTTATAATTATAGCAAAGCTACAAATATAACAACTTACAGGTTAAAAACAGCACAAAATACGTAAGCCACACGGTAGCTGCTGCTTTGAAGATGTACAGCATTCAATCCAACCGGCCGGAAGTTCTGACTACGGCATTTTTTATTCAAAATCTATCTGAGTGGTTTAAACTTGTAACGTCTCGCGATCTTCAGATTGCGCTTAGCAAAAAAAAATCCCGAGGTTTATCAGCAAGCAATTCTGTTCCTCGAAAGCTTCCGCAGCTTTATATACACATGTAGGGTCGGTGAAAGGGCACTCTGGAAGCCCTGGCTAGCAGGTATGATATTAGCAACAGATGGTTTGCTACGGCTACAGAATTATTTTATGGATAATGGCTTCGACTTCATATGTGTGGGAAGGTTCACACAAGATTGTATAGAAAATATATTCTCTCAACTGTTCCAAGCAGAAGATGCCAAGAGCAATACAAGTTAAAGACAATCTTAAATTACTCACTATCGGCCAGGTGATGGAGGAAATACCGAATTCATCATGCACATATGACCCGAATGAATGGCTATTGAGTTTTTCTGAAAAACTGAATGCAATTAAAACGTCGCATACAGAACCTGAGATTAAAACCATAATACCGTACATAAATGAAGTCACAGAAGATAAGACAATACATCGCATCGATAACATCATAATACCCGATTTTCAATCATCAGAAGCAAGCGCGATTTATTACGTAGCTGGAGTTATCCTACGTAGCCTTCGTGACAGAAGAACTATATGCGACCAATGTATAGCTGCATGTACTATCGGAAACGAGAATTCGGGAGATCTGACATTATTTACTTCGTTCCGGGATTATAACGGCGAAGCTTTACTTTACCTTAATCTGGCAACCTACAAATTTTTCGAAGAGCTTGAACAAATATTCTCCCGCAACATCAAGGAACTACAGGCTAGCGTTGAGAACGTAAGAGACAATCTTCTCAGCAAGATGATGCTAGCCGAAGCACATCATTTCTCAAAGTGTCATAAACTAAAAAATAATTGTGAGTCGATATCTTCTATTCCGCTTGCGCTCTAGTGCGTCGAAACTCCCACAAAAGAAAATATATGACAGCAAGTCGATGTCTTAGCGTAAGTGACATTCTGACCAATTGTTTCTGGATTGAATAATTAATTTTTTTTAATGTTAATTTATATATTTCACTTTATCAACAAAGTTGGAATTTTATCATCTAACAACAACAAGCTGAAATAAAAATGCGTATGAAAAATAAACGTACTTGTTATTTTACACGATTACAATACTCGTCAATATGATCTTACCTTTGTTCGGAAAGCATGTTCGTTTGGCTCAGATTTTGACAGTTCGTTTGGCTCAAAACATTATCTCCGCCTATCTCCCCCTCTGAGTATTTCTAATTATTACGCATTCGCCTTGACACCAGTCCCGAAGTGACA